AATAATATGTACTACCTACATTAGAATATACTTACGACAATGTAGGATTTTTGTGCCAAACCTACAGGAAATGTTTAAAATTTTCTTCGCCTCAATCTGGAAACAATTATATTTTTTACCATAACGATAGTGCATATCATATAAACTATGCACATTACACATATATACCATGTGCGGGGCCAGTTTCTATGGAGGGTTTTAAGGGCACTTTCCCCGGGCCGCAGATGTCTGAGGAGCATCTAGATGCCGGAATACTTTAAGAAAAAATGTTTGTTGGAAGTGATATACTAGATTTTTTTATTGTTTGATGAAATTATAGACGACTTTTCTGGATAAAAATCAAGAGAAGTACCAAATTTATAAAAATGTATTTATACAATTTTGATTGTACTATTTACTATATATAAAAATGTTTAAGTATTAAATTAAATTAAACTTAAATTGTAATTTATTATTAATGTAACAATGTAAAGGTTTAATTTAAAAATTGTAATTGATAAAATGTTACCTATGAGCTATGAGATTCATAAACTTCTTTTTACTCTTCAAATTATAAAAGTTTATTAATATATATATTTGCTATGTTTAAATGAATTTTGAAATTTGTGATACACAAACGGTGGTATTTAAAACTTGAAATAAACAGGGTTAGATAGTTATAACAAGTGGCAACGTTGCAAAATTTTTAATTATTTTCCTCAACTAATTAGTTATTTTTAATTTTTTACTGATAGGATCCTCTAAAAAATATTTGCCTCGGGCATCTGAAAGTCTAAATCCCTGACCCTGTGTCTGCAAAAACTGGGTACACTCTATAACTCAGTTACCTACATTACCCAGTATACCCTATACATATTTTAGAATTCTGTCTGCGGGCGATTGATGATCCAATAGTCTGGTTTCATGTCCCACAAACATAATTCAAAAATATGTGTAGAGTACTGAGTAATAATGGTAACTTAATAGTTAATTATACGGTGTAGGTACCCTGTTTTCGCAAACACGAGGTATATATTATACATATATAGGTCCATATGGGAGCGATCGTTATTAAAACCTAACGATGGTATTTCGATCGCAATCAAATACGAAATTTATTAGGTACTATATTAGAATATATGAGTACAATAAACTGTATAGGTATAACTTCGGTATAACTTTTCGTAATGACTACTTGAAGTAGTTCGATGAAGGTGAACAAAATTTGGCCGCCTCGAATCCTTCGCCGAAAACTTTCAATACAAATTGAAACTAAGTCGTCACTATACTCTACACGACTAGTCCGAAACTCCGAGTGGTCGAAGAGCCACAGGCCATTTCTACCGCTAAAAGCCACCTTTGATACGGTAGTACCTAGGGATAAGAATTTCCAAAAAAAAGATTGTCAGAAAAAAACCCTGGTTTTTTCCGGTTTTTTTTTCGGAAAAAATAGTTTTGACGAAAAAACTGGGTTTTTCCTGAAAAAATTGAAAAATAATAATAAATAATTTATAATAATATAAAAATATATTCTCGTATCCCGCATTTTCGCCAATCATGCTTGGTTGTTACTTATTTTTCTAATAATTATTAATTAATATTGTCATTACTCATTTGTCAATCGTGTGATGTCTATATATTTTATCTACAACTTACAAGTAATTTTATTTATATAACATTTAAAAAAACAGGTGATTTATTTTCGGGGAAATAAATTCTCCTATGACCTACATAAATACCAATTTGATATGTAACTACTTTATTTTTAGAACAAATATTGAAATATCCGTATGAATATATTTAATAGTTTAATTTTATATTTTAATACAATAATAGGTACATTGTTATAACCGTATTGGCTAATGTAAAATGACAATGGCAGGTTTCCTTATCTATTTTTTAAAATGGTTATTTATTTTACATACGTTATTTTAATTTTTAAGCGTAAATACAATTTTCTAATTTTCAAAAAAATTGGTTTTTTTTTAATTTTCCGTAAACTTAGGTTTTATGCATTATTCTCCAATTTTTCCACGTTTTCCGAGGCTCTAGGAAAAAAAAAACATTCCCACATTTTCCTGAATATTTCCTGAAATTTTCGGGCATTTTGATCCCTAGTAGTACCTACAATATTACGCACGATGGTGGTACAACATAGCCTGTAGATCTGAGTTCTTAAAACAAAAATTGCACACAAATATATACAAACTATATCTCCAGACTCCAATACAAGGTGATTATATTATTTTTCTTATCTGCGAGATATAGGACGTAGGTTTCAATCAAAGACATATTGGCAACTTTCAAAAAGCCAACGTTCAAGCAACTCCATACCTAACATATTATGATTATCAGTTTATCAGCTTTGTTGACTTATGTTAATCAGTTATTGATAATAATAGTGGTCATGATGATACTGTTCATAGTTTTGCACAATATTTGTTCAAGTGTTTATGACGTAGACTCGGCAACAGCCATGGTTTAACATAATCCAGTTAAAATGTCTCAAGTTATAAACATTCGACATATTTTCGTTGGTCTTAAATGCTACTGGAGTTAATTAAACACTCTATTATATTACTATTCATTAAAAATCAAGCATAGGACTAGACATGATACTAAGTATTTTCTTTTCAAATTTTAAATCTGTGTTAACAGTTTCCTCGTCTTATCCACTTTATCCATTAACCCAGGGACGGAAACCAAAAAAAATTTTGGCGGTTTCGGTTTTGGTTTTTAAAACCGGTTTTTTATATTTAAGGTTTTGCTCCCCGATTTTAATACTCAAAATAAAAGTTGTAGGTTTTGGTGTCGGTTTTTAAAACCGGTTTTCTTTTACTAAGGTTTTGGTCTTCGGTTAACCGCTCATATGAGTCATAGGTATATAGGTAAAAAAAAAATTAAGTATTTTTAAATTTTTAATACAACACCCTTTTCATTTGGGTTCATAATTGAATAACGAATATACACAATTTTTTCTCCTAGATACAAAGAATTTAAAATATCTAGAAAAAACTTAAGCATAACTAAAACTTTAATAGCCTTAAACTTATTATTTACAAACCAATAACGATTAGACTTGAAATTTCACTAAGACATAAGGCAATTGTAATTTGTTACTTAAGGCTTTCTAGTTTATTACTTTTAACTTTTTAATAAGGTTTCATTCAAATACAATTATAAAACAATATATTAAATGTTAAATATGTACTTAAATATTTAATTAGTATAATATCAAAATTGTATATTGATTACAACAGCACAAGAAAATAACATTGTACTTTTCATAACTAATATTTTTATAATGTTATAAACTTATAGGTATTATGCATAAATACATTTCACTTTTTTAATTTTAGTATTTTACTAAATTACTAAGTTTGATCGTATTATCATTATTTGTTCAAGAATATTTGCTCCTAAATTTGACCGTAAATCATTCAAAATATTAGTGACATATAAGTGGAATTCAATTTATATTTATTATATCTACAGAGAATTTTATAGTTTAACCGTTATATTCACAGAATATCGACTCTCGTTTTAATGTTTTATGTTCAGATATTTCTAAAATATTAAATAACATAATAGTATCAGTAATCATTTAATGTAAAAAACCGGTTAACCACTAAGTAAAAAAAACGGTTTCGGTTTTGGTTACCGTTCAAATAACCATGGGTTACAATCAGTTCGGTCTGTTAATATAACTGGGTTTAATTAATTATTATTTGATAAGGGGTAGTTTGATTTAATGTGTTATTTATTAAGGATCAAGGGAGACTCGGTTTAGTACTAATTTATATTATTTACTGTAAATATTTAGTAATATTTTGTCGATGACTGAGGTTTAAACTGAGATGAGTGTGTGTATAAGAGTTTTAAATTTGATTAGGATGGAGGTAGTTTGGGAGGCTGTTTTGTTTGTTCTGGTAAATATTCATTATTATTTGGTTGAGTCTGGTTTTGTGTTTACATCTGTAGACTGTAGCCTAAAGTTTGGATAATATATATGTTATTTAAGTATGAGATGCTATTGTAACTTGTAAGGTGAATTTGACACAGTATCAGTATTACCGTTAGAATTTCGTTTATATTACCGAAGCCAAATTTGAGTTTAATTCTGTGGTTTGGTCTCTATATTTAAAACTTAAAATTCGATGTTTAGATAATCTTTAAAATTATTTCCTTCAATTTATGGTATTCAAATATTATAACAATACTCATGAGCCTCTGACCCATATTCTTATTAGCAGTCATTATTACAATTATTTAGTAGTTTAATAACAAATTGAAAGAAATTAATTTCGAACAATATTAATTTTAAACTTTAAATAGTTATATAATATTATAGTTGCCTTGAATCTTGATATATTAAGTTTTCTTAATTTTTGTGTCCCTCGATGTTAAACTAGGTCAACTAATATTGTTTATGTATTTAAAAAAACCAACAATATTTATGTCTTGGCTTCTCTTACCAATGGACGACAAAACGATCGTCATTAGCTAATGAAACAAATATCGAACTATTTCATTATAACTCTATCAAATCTATTAAAAATTATTTAAATAATATTTTTTGGGTTTAAATCATTCGTATTCTTATTAAATACCTTTATTATATTATTGTTAAAAATATATTATTATATTTAATAAATAAATAATAAAATAAACTAAGCACAATGAAATTAAAATTAAACAAACAAACCAATGTTATGGCGGTATTTTCCAAAGAAACCGATATAACTACTGTAGCGAGTTTTTGTATGGTGTTTTATATTGCTTGAGCAAAGCGCCCATACACTGATGGGGTATATTTAACAAAAAAACATTTTAGATATTATTTCAATTTTAAAACTGGAAGATAAAAACTTACCATAACTTACTATCATTTAACGGAATTGTTAGGGACTGCGTTAATAACATATAGTCCTGATTTAAAAAAACTTACTACCTAGCAAAATAAACACTTAACACAGTGTTTCCCAAAGTGGGCGATATCGCTAAAGCTAAAGCTATATACAATGGAAGTTACAAGCTTAATTGGGGGGCATTTCATTAAAAAAAGGGGCGGTGACAGTTTTTCATTTTTGATCGCATTTCCATCATCCTACTTGGTTGAACGTGGATTTAGTGCAGTAACCAATCTAATCACTAAAAAAAGAGAACGGTTACAAATAACTAATCGTGAGGACTTAAGAATGCTGGTTACGAAAATCGAACCTAATATCAACGAACTTCTAGCAAAACACCAACCACATCCATCTCATTAAGATATTTTTTTTCATTTGTACCTACACATTATATATATATAAATATTTATAAGCAATAAATTTCATTTTTCATTGCATACTTTTTTAACAATTTTTTTTTTAAGGGGGCGTCTGTCAGATTTTTTTTTGGGCGGTAAAGATAAAAAGTTTGGGAAACACTGAGTCTTGACAAATAAGAAAATAGTCAATAAAGAAAAATTATATCAATAACACTTTATTTTTACTAATTTTTTTCTATATACTATGTAATTTAATAAAATAATATACTTTTTAAAATACATAAATTCATATTAAAAAAATTTTTTTGTAAAAATGTTGCGATAAGATGCGAAAAGTCTATGACGAGAGCCACGGTTTGGCCACACCTGTTATATTATATTATCTTACAATTATTATATTATTGGTAAAAAAAATGTATTGTATTGTGGATTTTATGATCCATTGCTTTACAAAATAAATAACATATATGCATACAGAGCAATAAGTATATATAACTGAAAGACCAGACAAATGAAATAACTTTTGTTTTAATAAATATTTTTTATTTTATTTTTTATAAAATGTACAGACGCTTGTGTTACCTTCCAAGTATGATATAACATTTACATTTTTATTTATAATACTAAAAACAAAAATATTTAAACCTGACATAAAATTTTTTTGTCAAAATTTCCAATTTTTAAATCTGGTTTTTGAATAATTTTGACCGTAAAAACATTTAATTAAGTAATGTAGGTAGCTTATTTATTTTTATTTTTTTAAATTTCATAATTTTTATAAGTAAAGTTGATCCATGTCATAAAAATAAAAACATTTTAAATACAATAAGTATTAACTTTTTTTAAATGCCTATTGTATGAATGTATGCCCATATTTAAATAGGTAACTATATAGTAACCTACTTTAAAATCTAAATATTTTTTATAAAACCTATTATTTTTCAAATTAATAATTAGTCTTAATTTCAAAAACATTCAACATTTTAAGAAATCATTCGAAATAAACTAGTTGACTCTGATAAATATTCTAACAGTCAAAAGTTTTCTAAAACCTAGATTATTAAAAAATAAAAAATGTTATAATAATAAAGTTTACCAAACGCGTAACACACAACATCAATGACAATTTATACAAAAAAAAAAAATCAAAAATATTGATTTGAACAAATGTTATTTTATTTGTCAGGTCTTCCTTATACAGCCTATATAATGTTATAAATATATAATATTGTAATCATCGTCATCATTATTATACTATGTGTTATGTACAATCACCACTGCCCGTCTGTTGTTCTCAGTGGGACAATACCCCTATAATAATTCACATTTGATATTATTACTTCAATATAATAATACATGGACGCATGTGTAAGCTCTGAAAAGGACGGTATTGGACCGTTCCGGTCGAAACAAAGTAACACACGCTTTGCAGTAAGTTTTGGGTAGGCATTAAATACTATTATTATAATACACGTGTGGGAAATGGACATAATACGTGCAAAATACCTTTATCCAAATACTTGCCTATATTGTGATGTGCACGAACATGGACAATTATGTACAATAATACTATGCAATACGTTCTACAGCTGCCATAGAGACGTCACCATATTAATTATTGTAAAATGTAAGTAGGTACCTCTCGTACGCGTTGTTTTGAATAATCATACCATGGGCATTAGTGCATTACTGCAGTATAACATTATTATCTCGGTTATTATAATATTATTTACATCGCATTACCAAACGGTTACTTACACGAAGAATGGTTATATAGACAGAATTTTTCTATTATTTTTAGTGTTCCACGTCGTGCGAAATATCTACCTTTATATTATACATATAGTAATATTATATATCGGTTGAAAACAATGCGATAATGATAATATATTATAATACATAAAAAATTAAATGAAACGAAACAGATTATCGTCGGTCGGGCGGGCGGAGAAGACCAATTTTAATTGCCTAGCTTAATATTATTATGTCGACGAGATATTATACGTGTGACGCGTATGTGCAATATAAAATGTTATTACGCTCGAGAGGTACCTACGCGATATAATTATTTTGTCGGAACAGCATATTATAATATTAGCTACATTACATTAAAAGTACATGCAGGTATTCGAAGCACATTTTCCGTGCATAGGACGACGACTCGCATTATATGCAGTCAAGTTTTTGCGAGTCAAATTAATTACGCCAAGACCGTCGCACTTGAACTTTTAAACGATTCCGTTCGTTCGAACCGTTAGTTGATGATTATAATATTATATATTTTTTTATCATCGAGAACGTAGAAAAAAAAATTTCGTAATTCGTCCAAAGATATTTAAATAATTTGTCTGTCTAATTGCGACGTTTACAACATAGATTAGTGACTGCGTTTTGTTTACGAGTGTTGAATAATAATTAAACCAAAAGGCGTAGAAAGTTACACGCGCACGCGACGTTATAGTATTTGAATGCGTTCCTTGCATTAATGATTACATAGGTGTACAATATAATATTATGGTATATATTTATAGGCTATAATAGGTATTTTATCTTTACACAATACCCGCTTATCGTTATGTCGGGCAACAGTGTGCAGTGCGAATGTCTTGTGTATACCACGCGTTTGCAGTTTGCACACAATTATCACGAACTATAAATGTCCTGTCTATCTGTTTTGTTTCTAAAAAACAGTCGGTCGTTTGTACCTACATATCTGTAATATAATAACAACAATGTGATGCAATAGTTATTGAACTTGTCGGACCTCTCTCTCTCTCTCTCTCTCTCTCTCTCTCTCTCTCTCTCTCTCTCTCTCTCTCTCACCCACTCACTCCCTCTCTTTCTCTAACCTATTACATTTTTCGTAAGATTTTAAGAGAGACGGCGCTATAATGCATTTTATATATATTTCTTAAACTTATAAACAATAATTGCACTGGGGTGTTAATAAAATACTGCAGCCGTTATGCTTGTACCTACGTCACTATGTCAGAGCTGATGTAGGTATTTATAACATTTGCCTGTAATCCAGGGTGAAATGACTTAGTAAAAGAACTGTGGTCAAAGTGTTCAACCAGTTCGGCAATATTATCGAGTCTGTCAGATGGAATGTGAATGGTCATTAGAAATTATTGTAATTATTTAATACAATGTTATACATTTAAATAATATTTAGTTTATACTATATTCATTTAAACACCACTGTTATATATGTTCACCATTCATTAGGTACCATATTTTGATAAAAAATAAACTTAACGAGTATCACTCATCACAACAATCGACAATTTCATACCATGAAAATATATTTAATAATGCGTTATTAAATAAATTATTACTAATTATCATATTTTTACCGTGAAAATAAACTTATCATGTTTGATTATGACAAGTAAACAATAATAATTCTCAAAAAGAAATAAATGACGCTATTAAGATCCAATCCGTAAAGAGAATAACAAATAACATAAAAATAGAAATAACATAGAAATAACAAAAAAAATACATAATATATAAATGGTCAATTATAAATTTCAGTACACAGGTCAGCAATAAAAAAATATAGACATTAAGGGAGAATACCGTGAGTGACCCTATAGGAATCGTTCAGGTTATTAACTGACCAAATTTCAATTTAGCGGTCTTTTTTTTATCGGACTTGAGTATTTTTATTAAGGGGTAATCGATGGGGTGACATCGCACTTGGATACAAAACTGTAATTATCAAATTGTGTAGGGATGAGAACAACCCTTTTATTATAGCTTACCCCGCATGTGCCCGTCTAATTCTGAAATTGTTTAATATAGTATCCATATTCTTGGTATATGGAAGGTAGGTAGATTAATTATAATATGATACCATATATTATTATATAGTTTGTAATTATTTTAAATGAAACATTTGATTATTTAAAATAATTACAACTACAAAGAGTAGTTAGGTAGGTACCTATAAAACTTTTAAAATGTTTCATTTTATTATTATTATTGTTATTTTACTGATTGCATTTTTTACAAAACAACCTTTTGGAATAAATTCATAAAACAACTTTGTTAAAATAACTCTAAACAGTATTTATTTTTAATTCTATTGATTTGTATATTTAATTGAATTTCTATGTAAGCTACAAAATATTTTCATAACAATTATTAATCTCAAGTCCCACAAAATTATTCCAAATACCCAATTTGGTTTCAGAGAAAACCACTCCACAACCCACCAGATCCACCGAATTGTCGACAAAATAGCCTCGTCGTTTGAGCTCAAAAACTTCTGTCCGGGAGTATTCTTAGACGTATCACAAGCGTTCGACCGTGTCTGGCACACCGGATTACTCTTTAAGCTAAAAATGTTCCTCCCGACTCCACTCTACTTGTTGACTAAATCATACCTACAAAACCGCTCATTTCTCGTCCGCCAAGGAGACTCCCTCTCATCACAATTCCAAATCTTAGCAGGAGTACCCCAAGGAAGTGATTTATCACCAGACCTCTACAACATTTACACAGCTGACATTCCCAACTCCGAAAATACACTGATAGCCACTTACGCCGACGACACGGCAATCCTCTCATCCCATTCCGATTCCACAACAGCATACCAAAACCTTCAAATTCATCTTGATAATATTTCAAAATGGTCCACCAAATGGAGAATAAAAATCAATTCAGACAAGTCCTTTCACATTCCTTTTACTTTGAGAAAACCTGTTCTTCCTAATATCTATTTTCAAAACAATCCAATCCAAACCACAACTCAAACCAAATACTTAGGTTTAATTTTAGACAAGCGTCTAACTTGGTGCCCACACCTCAAAATCAAAAGAAAGACTCTTAACTCCAGACTTCATCTTTTACGGCCTATTCTCAAGTCCAAACTCTCTATTGATAACAAATTACTAATATACAAATCTATGTTAAAACCTATCTGGGCCTACGGCATCCAAATATGGGGATGTGCCAAGCCTTCCCAAATACGGACTATACAAGCCTTCCAGTCTA